CAAGCACCTCCGGGCAGTAGTTCCGCCCCTATTGGTAACTACTCCCTCCGTCCCATTTATATTGTCCCGGAAGAGGGTGACCGCCCCTATTGGTAACTACTCCCTCCGTCCCATTTATATTGTCCCGGAAGAGGGTGACACAGTTATTAAGAAAAGTGGGTTTGTGTGGTTGATATTAATTGATAAAGTAAGAATAAAGTAAGAATGATTTAGAGCCACACAAACTTTGCCAAATATGGTATGGGACAATATAAGTGGTACTTCCCGAAAAGGTAAAACGAGACAAAATAAAGGGTTTTTTACAACAATATTACTAAAATAAAACTTATTTACATAAATATGACTACTCATTACTACAACGTAGTGTTGTAGTAACTTAAGTTCGAAACTTGAACATGAATTACTATGTTTTCATTACAACTCTAGTAACTAATCATATTTTTGTAAACCATCTTTATTTTGGTCATATTAATGTAATTATTTCCAAAATAAATGGGACAGAGGGAGTACATTACAAGCTCTATGCTATGCCCGACTTTAATGCATGTGCAAATGAAGAATTCAAAGTTTGCAAACAATTTCATTGATTTGCAATTCTAGAAGCAGCGCATGTACCTCAACCTCCGTCCCGGTGTAAGGTTCTCATGATAAAATAACATGATTGTTTAGGTAAAATTTAAATAAGATAAGTAGAGTATATTTTGAGAAATATTTTTGATGGTTATATAATATAACGAGATCATTGATAAAAATTTCGATGCTATAGATATAATTTGTATTATTTTTAATATTTGGTGATTAAATTATCATTTAAGAGTGATAATTCTTTTCTAAAATTAAAATGGGAATCTTTAACTGGAGCATCAAAAAATGAAAATAGGTTTCAATATCCTCAATTAATAACACCCGAGGAACCACACTACAAATTGGTACAAAATATAATAACTTTACTGTCTTAAATGAATCTTTCTTTGACTCGACTCATTATGTTTGTTGACGTGCTGAAGACATTGCTTAATTCATGTTTCCTCCTCCTCATCTTCCTCCTCCTACTATTCCTCCACCTCCTACACCTATGACTATGACATCACGATCATTATCACGATCACAATCATTATCTTTTCAACGAGCCAGAAAATGGTTGAATTGAAACTATCTTCTTTTTTTTTGTAGTAGTAACCTTATTCATAATAACAAATGTGATAGTTTTTACATATAAGTGATCGTGATATGAACTTTTTTATCATATTTCTACAAACAATCTCTATTTGATTAAGGGAAAATGGAAACGAATAATCCAACCTTTTAGCGATCTTCTTACAATAGTCCCACCTTTTCGTTATTCATGAATAATCCAACCTTTGAGTTGGCAATCAGAAAATATATGGATCGAACTTAAACCTGGGTCTAGAAAAATAAGTAATTTTGGTTGGGCTTTTATCCTTTTTTTAGGTTCATTGGGATTCTTATTAGTAGGAACTTCCAGTTATCTTGGTATAAATTGGATATCATTTTTTCCAGCCCGGCAAATTCTTTTTTTCCCACAAGGAATAGTCATGACATTCTACGGAATTGTGGGTCTTTGTATTAGCTCGTATTTGTGGTGTACTATTTTATGGAATGTCGGTAGTGGTTATGATCAATTCGATAGAAAAAGGGGAATATTTTTTATTTTTCGTTGGGGATTCCCTGGAAGCATCTCATCTTCATTCACTGGTCTCTGACCGGTTAATGACCAGCTATTTCAAGTTATTTTCTTATCTTTGTAAAATATTATCTTTGTGAAAGGTGAGATTTATGGTATAATGATTTGCAAGGATAAGAAAATAACTTGGAATAACAGGTCATCAACCGGTCAGGGACCAGTGAATGAAGATGGGGTTCAATGGTTGGATTATTCATGAATAACGAAAAGGTGGAACTATTGTAAGAAGATTGTTAAAAGGTTGGATTATTAGTTTCCATTTTCACTTTGATTAATATTTTTAAATAGAAATTGTTTCTATTTAAGAAGTACTAATTTGACCTAATGTTTTGTTGTGATCCCCAATTTTGATACATACATAAGTGAAAAAGAATTCCAGTTGGATTGATGTGTGAAGTTCGATCGAGTTTTATCTAATGTAATAACAGTGCACATTAGAGTGTTAACCATGTAACTCAAAAATATCTAAAATCACCCTAACCGATTTTGGATAGATGAAAAAGAATCCAAGAATTGAAAAAGGACCCAGGGAAAACGACAACGGACAAAACCGTAATAATTGGACAAACGACAAGTAGTGGAGAGTGGGGCCGTCGATTGTTGCTAGGTGTGGATGAGTCATGGCATCCCCCTCCGGATAAGCACGCCACCTGCCCCACTCTCATCCCAAATATCTCTCCGAACCGCCTCTGTTTCGGGTACCCGGTTTTCTCCTCCCCTCCTTATAAGTCAAACAAATTCCCCTGCCTTCCATACCGAAACATTTCTCAAAGCTTCAATCGATTTGAACACTCAAAATACAATGAGTTACTTGAACCGTGTTTGGGTGGCCGCCGGCGTGACCTTAGCTAACAACCACTCCGATCAAGGCCAGAAACTGAAGTCCGGCCTCAGATCCCTCCACCACAGCAAGAAGAAGTTCTCCGCTTCCCCGGCGGCCGACATGCGGCCGCTCTCCGGCGCGGAGCTCGGTGGATTCGCCGGAGAGGAGCGGATGGTGCAGGTCGATGACTCGCTCAGGCAAGTCATGTACATGAATTGTTGGGGGCAGGGATAGATAATGGCGGATTGACGGAGGCGAAGAAGAAGAGAATCGCAGCCGGTCGGAGCCGTTGCCGTTTCCGAGAGAGCATTGTACGGGGTTGACATTCTCCGGCGGAGATTGGACCGGAATGAGCTGAATCAGTTACTGTCCAGCGCGGGCATGATCAAGAGTTACTGCGCGTGTAGAGTGTGCAACCCTGATTGTAAATATTTTTGTATATATGTGTGTAATGTTTATGCAAATCCCAATTGAGCCTTCTCTAACACTTATCTTATTCGTCTTTATGTTAAAATGCTCTTCCCTTTAGAAAAAATATTTTTCTGATCAAGATTGAATACAAATTGCCGAAAATTTGAGTTAATCCAAGACGGAAAGGAAAGAACGATTTAGAAGTCCATAACATAGTGATCATTTGATATTCACGCTTTCAAGGATCTTCCAGGATGAAATTTATATTGGGTTTGGGGTAAAACTCATGTGCTTACATCGCTAATTGTAAAGTAGTGTTCATATACGATCGCAAATCGAAACAGACCCGAAAATATGAATCAAATTAGAGTCAGAATGATCCGGGTGAAATAGAGACGAGATCGTTCCACGGAGATGAACCTCCTACATTTTTACACTTCCATTGTGATTTACACTTCAACTGTGATATGATAGATACTTTGCTCTCTCAATCTTAGGTCTTCAGTGTCATCCTTTTCTTAATATTACTTCTTTGGTTTTGAATGACCTAAAGTAATTGAATGTTAACAATACAAGTCATTTAGCTGTAAATTACTTTTCCACATCTTCTCGATTATACGTAGTATTGAATTTCAAATTATTACACAAGTGTTTCAAAATTTATACGTAGTAAAAATTTAATGCTTCTCTATCTTTCATGATTCATCTTATTGAAATGAATTTAAGTTCTCTTTCATGATTCATCTTATTGAATTGTATTTAAGTTTTGTTTATTAGAGTTACATCAATTTTGAATACTCATAAAAACAATATCACAATTCTAGCTAGTGCATGAGACGAGTATTAAACTAGAGTTACATTTAAAATTGATTAGGTAGATACATATTTGTATAATCACGGAGTACTTTTTTATTTGAATCACTTAATGACATAAACAAGTTCCATTTAGATTTTTAAAATATCTAGATAGGGTCTTATATGTATTACTCCGTACCTTATGTAGTTATGTCTAAGTATTTTATTCCCCGAATCCGTATAGTGACAAATACAAATGAGTGAAGTTTCAAGACAACCAAGTTGAGATGGCCGAGTTGGTCTAAGGCGCCAGATTAAGGTTCTGGTCCGAAAGGGCGTGGGTTCAAATCCCACTCTTAACATTTCATTTTTCCTTTTCTACGTGTTCTGACTTCTTCCTTGAGATAGTTAACCTACCCAGAAACAACTTTCATCTTTCTTTTTTGTGTCAAACAATTTTAAAACATTAAAATTTATCCCTAGTAAATTTATTTCATTTGTATATGTAAAATTCAACCGGAAAGTTGTTTATAGGAAGGTGAGAGTAATAGTTACCCCCACTCTATTATCAATTATATCTAATTCACTATATAAAGGTACGTCATTCAGTTCAACCTCACAAGTACATTCACCTACATGGCCACACATCATGTATGATGTATCATTTGATTTCCTTCTTCAAGCTAAGTAAGTTTAAATCCACACATCCAACCTATTATCAAAATTGGGCCAAAGCTAATCGGCGCATATAAGTTTAAACCCGTCATAATTTTATAAAATCAATAATGAATAGAATCAATGAAAGAGATACTGGAGTACTAATTAATTTCACTCATAAAGTAGTTGTCAAAATAACATTGTAGTTGGGCTGGAAAAAAAGGGCAGTAGACATCCACATTAGAAAAAACAAGATGTCTAACTTCAATTACTTATGTAGACCTAAAAGATGTATGCTAAATTACCATGCACATTTAGGAAGGCAGGTAGCCCCGCTCACGTACGCGACATGGTTAATAAAAATAGAATCATTTTTTTGGTTAAATACAAACTCATAATATAGACGTCTAGACACATATTGTTCTTGTGCTCGTAGCCTGATACCGTTTATGAAAAAGTTACTAGCTCAAGACTTAATTGCCAGCTCAACATATTAGTATGCGTTGTATGTAAATAGGAAATAATGAGATAATGACGTGTACTAAGATTTGTCAGAGTTAGTTAGGGGTTAGCTAGCTTCTAACAATAATCCGCGCGATTAGCTTAAATAGTCATTGTACATCTTCAGTTGAGCTATGGAATAAATCATGATCATCTTCTTCCCCCTTTCTCATGTTCTGCATGTTTTCTACGTATGAACGTATGCTGTATGCATGATCTCGTACGTTATCTTCTTCTATTCATTCCTATAAGATAATCTGACTTGTATCATTGGTATAAGAGACTCTCGACCTGATTACTCAAAATTCTGACAACTGTTTAATAAAGTAGTACACGATTTCGTAAGGTAGGATGCATGGTGCAGACAAGAAATTCGAATTCAGAGATGGACGAAGCACTGAAATCATATAGCAGGAGTTTGATCAAAAACTGGAGAATCAAAATAAATTGCTGATGGATATGATGTGTAAGATCATGAGAAAGTTGTGGAGATGCAGAAAAACAAACTTGTTGTCAAGGGCGGAGCTAGAATCAAATGGAGGGGTGAGTCGATCTATTGTTTTATATAGTAAAACTGATTTATAAATCAATGATGTGCCAAACTCTTATTGGTTACTAAAAATTGTATTATCACTCCAATTAAAACATTTAGTTAATTCTCCCTAGGTTCAAAACTTCACACGTTCCTTCACTAGAGTTTCACTTTAATTAGGCCAACTAATTTAATTTGGAGAAAAGAGAGAAGAAAAAATCTTTTATTTTTAAAGCATTATAACTTTTTAATTTATATCAAAATTAAAAAAATATAAAAAAAATATCAAAATTCATAATTTTTTATGAACTTTCATATGACAGTAATATTGCATATGTTAAAAAATGTGAAGATCTAATTAATGGAGATTTTTAAGCTTAAAACTTTTTTTATCAATAAAGCCCAAAACTTTTTTTGAGTAAACTCAAATTTTAAAATTAAGATCTTATAATTAATTTTTACTTTTTTAGTTAATTTATCAAATAAAGTGTAAATACCGGATTATTCCTTATTATCTATTGTTATGTATAGTAATCTTGAATTATGAAATGCTATGTGTGGCTCTCTTATTGACTTTGCATAATACATGCTAACATTACTTTAAGTTTAAAATCATTTTTATAGCTCATTAAATGATATTTTTTCAAAAAAAAAATTAAGTGATGCAAGTGCTAATATAATATGTAGTATAAAAACCACTTCAACATTACAACATTTAATTATTTTGTAAAAGTACATCTACATAATATGCTTAATTGATTGGATTGTGCATTGAATCTTTTTTTTTAACCCGAAAGGTAAACCACCCATCGGTGGGGCAAATGCCGGGGAACATTTGACGTGTTTTATTAGAATGATCAAAAAGTACAAAAAGAGAGGGGGACTAGGCCGATACCTCTCATTTTTTAATACAAAGAAACAACAAGCTATCGAAAAGTAAGGTAAGCCCATCATGTCAATAGATAAAGATTTTTTTATCATGTGGGATACATTATTGTGATCAGTATAACAAACGAAAGGTAAATGAGTAGAATAATAATTTTGTGCCATAAGATGAGCAGTCATGTTGGCTTCCCTGAAAATATGCCGAATCTCACATTCTGCCCGTTCGAGATCTGTTCGAATAGAGACCAGTTGTATCTTCCATCTTCCCTCATAGAATCTATCTTTTAATAACCTCAGCAACTCTAAACAGTCCGTTTCCATCTCAAAATCTGGAGTAACCTTTATCTATAGCCAAATGGAGAGCTATTTGGCGCGCTTGAATTTCTGCCTCTATAGCCGATGAAGCTTGAAGAGCAAAGCTAAGACCAAATATCATTTTCCCTTCCCTGTCGCGCATCACTGCCCCACCTGACGAGCTACCTGGAGTGAAGGAAGCATCAACATTAAGCTTAAACAAGGTTTTTGGTCTATCCCACTTTATCATCTTCATCCCCTTCTTTGGCTTCAGAAAATTGGCTGCTATAAGATTATCTTGAATAAGACTATCAACACCCTTATTGTCCTTGCTATGCTTTAGGGTCTTCGACCAATTTTGGGAAAATAATTTTATTTGCCAAATAATAGAGTCAGCCGAAGGGATAAGATCAGAGGAACCCCAAATTAATTTAGCATATACGTAGTATCTTCCAAATATGCCATAGGATAATTCCTGGCATATTCATTCTGAAAATACCCAGCCAAGAATGATTATCTGCTTTGAGCCACCAAAAGAATAACATCTGCCTTAGGGAAATATGTTCCCTGTGATTTGGGATTTCAAGAATTCTCATGAAATGAAACCATACCTCCTTAATCACAGGACAAAAGTAGAAAATGTGGTCTATCGATTCTGAATTTTTCTCACAGAATGGACATCTAGAGGGATAGATCACCATGTTGAATCTGATTAGATTCTCCGCAATAGGAAGCATGTTATTAATGACTTTCCATTGAAAGATTCTGATTGGTAATGTCTGAAATTTATTCCAAATGCATCTTGAAGACAAAGTGCTTGACTTCCTCCATCTGATTTCATGGAAAGCAGAAGACGATGAGAACTGACCATCCTTTTCTGGCTCCCAAAAAAGATTACCCATATCATCCAAATCAGATAAGTTTTCTCCCCTATCATTAATTTGACACAATCTTCTCCATATGCAAGAATCAGTGAATTTTAGTATCATATTGCCATCTCTTGGGTACCTAGCATTGCAAAACTTAGCCCAAAAGGGGATTGTGCATTGAATCATATTGTAAATCATGTTTCAAATTCAATATATCAATTATACGCATAAATACACTCAGTTTATACTGTGAATAAAGAAATTATGATGTGAAAACATGATAACAATATGCTATAATTTGAACACAGTCAAAATCTTCACAATAAAAATTCATACATAACACTTTTATTATTCTTCAATTATGCACAACTGCAAGAATAACAATAATATACCCTCATCATTCCAACGAAACCAATACGTGGCCGCAACGGGGATAGGTTGGGATCCAACATGTGTTGCAGTTGCAATAATATGGTTGCATTCTGTAGCATGACGGCATAGGTGAAATTTCAATTCACGGGGGAAATCTACTACGTAACATGTGTTACATAACCGCAAGAATAACAATAACATACTCTTATCATCCCAACGAAACCGCAACGTGGCCGCAGCGGGGATAGGTCGGGACCCAACACGTGTTGCAGTTGCAATATTATGGTTGCATTATGTAGCACGTCGACATTGGGCCTCAATGGAGGTGAAATTTCATTTCACAGGGGGAATCTACTACGTAACCCAACGAAACTGCAACGTGGCCACAACAGGGATAGGTCGGGATCCAACATGTGTTGTGGTTGCTATATTATGGTTGCATTCTATAGCATGATGGCATCGGGCCGCAATGAAGGTGGGATTTCAATTCAAGGGGGAGATCTACTATGTAACCCAATGAAAACGCAACGTGCCCGCAATGGGGCCATACCGGATCGTTTCATGACATCAATAGTAATTATTTTCTTATTCAGTTTGAACGTAAAATACACTGCATCAAGCCGCAATACACATCACAAAAGCTGCAATAGCCGCAACCGCAGTGATCACAATCGCAACGCCGCCGCAATAAAAAACATTGGTATAGATTAAAGAGTAAATATACGTAGTATAATATATGATGATGGACAATTTAAATATAGTATGCCTTCATTGGTCTAGCAGTTTGATTGCCGAATAAGCAATGTGACAGTATGTATAGTAGTGCCAATTTCAGTCCATCCTTTGTTAGTTTGCTCTCATTAGTGCTCTTGTAACTCTTTAATGCATTCTGAATATCTGCACGAGTCACAGTTATCTTGGCCCCTAAATAATTTGTTCATACATCTCCCTGAAGCTCCTCTGAAATATTTGGCTTCGCAGCTCCAAACTTTAAAGCACACATTATTGCCAAATCATGCTTCTGAAAATTGATGACACTGTCTTTAATGTGAAACCCGATTACACCGTTATCTGTGTTTCCATTAACTTCAGTCAAAAAGTTTCCAATCAATCCCAAAAGCAATTGTCCACTGAGCCAAGACATGTCTTCTATTCTTAACATCCAACCAAAGACAGTATTGTTGAACTCTGTCAATTCCTCTTTGCTTAGATATGTTATTATTTTCCTAAGAACCTTAACAACATTGCACTAGCTAGGAGTTGTGACGTGCACTTTGTCGTGTGTGCACTCAAAATAAATCGATACTAACAACTATACGTAGTATAGCGTAGTAGAGTTCGTATCCACAGGGAAAGGAATAATTTATCTTTTTAATGAAAGGAGTAAATAAAGGGGGTTTTTGGTTGTTGAGTGATTTAATTAAATTAAACACGAAGATGAATGAGTTATATGGGATTAAATTCAAGAATAAAAAGAACTTGGTCTTGCTACTTTCCACTTGTTGATATATTTTAGTCGATCATTGTTATATCTATAACTTATCCCCTCTCGAATACTCAATCGCGGAGTATCTCCAATTCATCGAGGGTAGTTATTAATAATGACCGTTCATTAATAACCCTTACTATTTATCAAATATAGAACAACGCCGTATACCGATATAATAGTAGCATTTAACCTCTTTAACTCCTTGATGAAATCAATTAAGATTGATAACCTCAACACAACGGTTTCGGTTTAACCAACAAAATCAATCCCTCTTAAGTTTATTAACCACGACCGTGCATTAATAAACTGAAGTTACTTACTTGTGAAACCATCAACGTTTAACCATCGGTTCGTTGATCGTTTCTAGTAATAATCAATGTCGGAATGTTAACTAATCGTCACTTAGCCACCCTCCAACATTAATATAGAATGAGATTAAGGGAAGAATTAATAATCAAGAGGAGAAAGTAAGAAAATAACTCACAACTTTAATAATCAACAAGCTTCAAGAGCAAAACCAAGAAATGGAAGTTTAGCTCCTCATTTGGAGACTAAACATGCTAAAAGAAATATAGAGAAATGCTATTCTAAACTGAGCTTAAGAGTATAAAGGAATTGGTCTCTAAGAGTGAAGCAAAGGAGGTGTATTTATAGGCTTTTTGAGGTGCAGGTCGGGTACTCGATCGAGTATATACATATACTCGATCGAGTATGTGTAGAAACTCGAATTCGGTCCATACTCGATCGATATTCGAGTAAAATTCATAGCTATACCCGATCGAGTATGTCGGTGTACCCGATCGGGTATAGACACTCGATCGTGGGAAAATCTTCTCCTGCATGTTTCTTTGTTTTCGGATCCGATCCGATTTGAAGTTTCAACCAGATACCCGATCGAGTATGGGTGATACTCGACCGAGTATAGACCAAAATCAGGATTTTCCCTTTTTGTCTTGTGATTTTGCACTTTCCTTCCACTTTTGGGGTTCACCAACTGTCCTTTGAGTGATGGTAGACCTGTTTGAGCTCAGAATAAACCTAATCTAAACATTTTACAAGATTTTAACAAACTAAACTATTACACCAAAAGTATGTAATTTCCGAAATGCTAAACAATAGAAAGTAACTAAAAATGCAAACATAAACACGGAAATTACACGTGTATCAAGTTGACACGCAAGTCTTCCAACTTCACCAACACTGATTTCTTAAATACTCTTGTTAATTTCTGTCAAGTTTACACAAATGTAGGCATTTCAATCACCATGTACAAAATGACTAATAAAAATGACACTATAATACAAAATGCCACCATATGATCTAATAAAAATGACTAAACTGTACTGTCATTAGTGCATCAGTTCTCAATTTTTCATTCAATGTGATGTTACTACCTCCGTCCCCCTAAGTTTGGGACAAAAGAAGGTGACACGGTTATTAATAAAAATGAGTTTATGTGGTTGATATTGAATTGATAAAGTAAGAATAAAGAAGGAATGATTTAGAACCACAAAAAATTTACCAAATAAGGTATGGGACAATCTTAGTGGGACGGACCAAAAAGGTAAAATGAGACAATCATAGCGGAACTGAGGGAGTATTTTGCTTTCAACCTAACCTATATTCATACAACTTAACTATTTATGGCAGAAAGTCATGATAGTCTGCATATAAGGTTGCAATGCCAATATATAACAACATATGCATGTAATGTCAGTATGTCACTTTCATACAAAATGCCACCAAATGACCTCATAAAAATTTACTAAACTATCATTAATGCATCAGTTCTCAATTTTTCATTCAATGTGATGTTATTTTTCTTTCAACCTAACATATATTCATACAATGTCACTATTTCAAATAGAATTTCATGATAGTGTGCATATAAGGTCACAATGCCAATATATAACCACATATGCATGGAATGTCACTTTGATACAAAATACCACCAAATGACCTCATAAAAATTGACTAAACTCTCATTAGTGCATCAGTTTTTTATTTTACATTCAATGTGAAGCTATTTTGCTTTCAACCTAACATATATTCATACAATGTCACTATTTCAAGTAAAATTTCATGATAGTGTGCATATAAGGTTACAATGCTAGTATATAACCACATATGCATGGAATGACACTTTTATAAAAAAATGCCACCAAATGACCTCATAAAAATTGACTAAAAGTGTATCAGTTCTCAATTTCTCAATGTGCTGGTATTTTGCTTTTAACCTAACACATATTCATAAAATATCACTATTTATGGCAGAATGTCATCAGTTTCTCAAATTGTAATTCAATGTGATGTTACTTTGCTTTCAACATAACACATGTGATGACAGTCTTCATATAAACTTAGAATGCTAGTATGTAACCATATTCATGAAATGTCATTTTCATATGAAATGCCAACATATTCTTCTTTATTTAACGCAGAATGTGATGACAATCTTCACATATGCTTAGAATGCCAGTACATAATCACATATTCATGGAGTGTCACTTTCTTATAAAATGCCAACATATTCTTCTTGATTTAACGCAAAATGTCATGACAATCCTCATATATGCTTAGAATGCCAGTATATTACCACATATTCATGAAATGTCACTTCCATATAAAATGCCTACATATTCATGTTTATTTCACACAGAATGTCATAATAGTCTTCACATATGCTTACAATGCCACTATATAACAACATGATGATGTAATCAAATGTTACTAAACATGTCATTTAATTTACTCCGATTGCCATAGTATTCATCGTACGAGATTTTTCACATCTAATTTAAAACCTATTTACATTCAGCAAATTTACTCCGAACTCCATTAACTGTCAAACGACATTCAATTTCAGGCATTCCTATAAGAAATAAGTACATACCATTTCGGAATTGATTTTGATGGCAACTGTATTTGATAAATCTAGGGCTTTGTCCTCCATTGCTTCGACCTTCAAGTGTCCTCAACGAAGCGACTCTGCTCAACTAAGCGATTCTCCTTCAACTGTCGTCTAAGTGGAAGTTTTACAGACTCTGAGTTTTGAACTGAGATGAAGTTATGTGGACTGAATGCCTCTTCTATCGAAAGCTCTCAGCGGTAAGTCTCCCAACACATCGTCATTTAAATTTTGGAATCTTTTTTTTCGGCAGCAATGATAATGAAACTTGGAAACCGGGAATTGTCGTAATAGGATAGGTGTAACCGTCAATGAGGTTAGCATACGTGTGCATCGGTTAGGAAGGTCATTTTTGGCATTTTTGCCCATAATTAGTCTTATGCGCGTTGGCTGAAACGTGGGTGTCCTATTTTTGCAATTTTCATAAGGTTTAGTCTTTTTTTTTGCTCGAAGAAGGCTTAATTCATAAAAATAGCATTCAGCAAGAGGATAAACCTAGAAAAGAACCACAAATAACCATCTGCCCGTGGCCGAGACTGAGAGTTAACCACCTGTGTAAAAGCAGTATAACTCGCTAGACCAATTTTGGGCATCAAAGAGCTAATGACGGTTACCGCAGCCTCTCCCTCCCCCAACCTTAATTTAGTCTTATTTAGGTAAATTTCTCTTTCTTTTACACTATTCAATACATTTATTATTTTCTCCTTAAATATTGTATCAAGACCTAATGTAGTGATTTTTTATCCGCCTTTAAGATTTACGGAGCATTATATCCGGCCTTTGAATTTACCAGTTTAAAACCGTCAAGTTCTTAGCAATGTTTTTATTTACTATATGATCCTCTCCGGTCTCTTTTTCAGGGAGGGCGTGTTTTACTTGTACTTGGGGTTGGGCTCTTTCTTCTTATTCTTCCTTTGTTTTACTTGTACTTGGGGTTGGGCTCTTTCTTTTCGTTTTTTGTACTCTCCTTTGCTGATTCGCTAATAAAATTTTTTTTTCATAAAAAAAAAAAAAAAAAAAAAAAAAAATGGTCCTCTCCGGACCATACCCACCCTACGTAAATTATTTCTAACAAAATTTGACCTACACTGTCAACCATTAATATAAACATTTCATTGGGTAGAGGTTTCTTCCGTATGAGTGGGTCGTTTATACGGAGTAGAATTTAAAACAGTACAATTCAACCTCCAGTCTGTAAAAATACCTCGCATATATGATTCTTTATAGAAGAGTTTGAATCTTTGAGCACTGCTAGTCTGCTAGAAAAGGAAAATTGAAAAAATAATAACACCTCAAGCGTCATGAAAGATATCGTTACTCAGTTAATTGTACCATGATTCTTGAGTAAGAATTACACGGTAAGAAAAGTCTCACGGAACTATAATTCATTACCTGAGCACTCATTTCGCCCCAAAATGATTTATAAAATCTATTTTTTTATAGCAAAGAAGGCTTATATTAGAATAGTGGAAATTCGTAGAGTAGCAAAAAAACAAACCCTCTTATTTCGGTCGTCAGCCCTAGAATTAGACATAGAACTGTAAATGTTAAAAACACAACAGTTCACTAATCACTTAGCGGGCAACTTGAAGCCTATTGCGAGCAAGCGAGAAAGATTGCCCCACAGAACACCTACCAAATAGGTGCTTCAGCTAAAAGTCCAAATAAAAAACAAGTAATTCAAGAGTCTGTGCAGTGTAACATCCCCAAAATTTACATATTCTAAAACTTGAAAAAAAAAAGTAAATATAAAAAGAATCAAAATTATTAAACAAAGGTTTATACCTTTGATAGGTGTTTTAACTATTAAACTCTACTAAAATAAATTACGGTAAAAAGAAAAGAAAAAAATTGAACAATTGAATCAAACTATAGATAAATAAACTATACATAGTATATCACCGAATAGAAAATGTTATGAAATGTGATATTTACTTAGTCAAATAATATTCATACGAAAATTTAGTAAATTGAACAAGTGCAAAGACAAAAGTCAATATGTTACATTAGCTGACATAACTCTAAAATTATAAAATAATTATAGACACATGTTACGAAACATCTTATACCATGCATAACAAAACAAATATACATGCATAACAAACAAACCCATCTTTCACATTCAAAAGTCCCATGACATTTGGCAATAACTCACAAAATAGAAAAAAATAAATTGCCACTCTCAATATTTGGGATTTAGCCACGTAGCTATTGTGAATATTTTGGGAAAAGGTACTCCAATTGGAGTCCTGTCATGTATATTTATATTGAAGATACATAATAGGAAACAAATATGCTTAATAATATTCTATTACACCCCCTCAAACTGTGCGGGAGATACAACGCGTAGGTTGTCTTTCAAAAAATAAAATTGCTGACTAGAAAGGCTTTTGGTGAAAATGTCAGCTAACTGTAACTGCGTGAGGATGTATTTCACAACTAAGTCTCCATGAGCCACACGTTCTCGGACAAAATGGTAGTCTATCTGTATGTGCTTGCTACGAGCATGCTGAACCGGATTAGCAGTCAAATAAGAAGCAGAGATGTTATCACAAAATAATTTGACTGGTGCAGTAACAGGATAGCCGAACTCAAATAATATAGAACGAATATGCAGAGTATCCTGAACAGTGTAAGCAACGGCTCTATACTCAGCTTCTGTAGAGGACTTGGAGACAATAGGCTGCTTCTTGGACTTCCATGAGACAAGATTCGGGCCCAAGAACACTGCAAAGCCAGTTGTGGACCGAGATGTATCTGGACAACCTGCCCAATCAGCGTCGGAGTAAGCAATGGCACGGGTTGCCCGAGATGTAGGCTGAAGCCACAAACCATGATCAAGAGTCCCTTGCAAGTACCTGAAAATTCTCTTGACCGCAAAAAGATGAGTAGTACGAGGAGCATGCATAAACTGAGACACTAAATGCACAGCATAGGTAATATCAGGTTGTGTCAAAGTTAAATATTGTAATGCACCAACCATACTACGATACTCAGTGGCATCTGCAAGAAGTTCCCCATCCGTGAGAGATAAAGAAGTGCGAGTAGCAAGCGGAGTACGAACAGACTTTAGAGTATGGAGATGAAAGCGAGAGAGAAGATCAGACACATATTTATGTTGAGAGAGAAACAAACCTTTAGCATTGCGGACAGCCTGGACTCCTAAAAAATAATGAAGATCACCCAGATCTTTCATTGCAAAATGCTTAGCAACAAGCTGAATAAAAGAGGTGATAGCAGCGGAAGAATTGCCATTAATAATTATGTCATCAACATATAGTAATAAATAAATTACAATATTATTCTGACGATAAATGAATAATGAATTATCAGACTTGCTGCATGTAAAATGATGAGATAGAAGAAAACTACTAAACCTGTGGAACCAAGCTCGCGGGGCTTGCTTAAGACCATAAATGGCTTTTCGCAAACGACACAAATGATTAGGAAACAAAGGATGAATAAAACCCCGCGGCTGACGCATGTAAACCTCCTCAGTAAGATGACCATGTAAAAATGCGTTCTTAACATCCAATTGACGAATGACCCACCCAAAAGAAATGGCAAGTGTAAGAACAATACGAACAGTGGTGGGTTTAATGACTGGACTAAAACTCTAAAAGTTTCAGGAAAATCTACACCTGTCTGCTGATTAAACCCCTGAGCAACCAAACGAGCTTTATGACGCTCAACAGACCCATCAGAATTATATTTAGTCTTATAAATCCACTTAGAGCCCACAACATTTTTAGTATTATCAAACGGAACTAAATCCCAAGTATTATTAGAAATAAGAGCATTAAATTCCTCCGCCATTGCCTCACGCCATTTTAAGTGTTTATTAGCCTCAGTAAAACAAGTAGGATCAGTTGATAAGACAACAATGTTGAGATTAAAAATGGTTTTTGGTTTAAAAATCCCCGACTTAGCCCGGGTTTGCATTGGATGATTATTTGCAAGCTGACCACGAGTCAAAGAATAATTCTGTGCACTGACCGCGGACTGCTGCAGCTCCGGAATGTCGTCGGGTATGGAGGCAGTAGCTTCGGACGCAGCAGGAGGAGAGGTTGGTCGATTAGGCGAAAGGGTGGAAGCATGGTTTTGGGGAGTAGGGTGGTCGTACGTGAGAGGTGGAGACTGGAGAGAAGTATGGTACCGTGTTGACCGTTCCTAGGGGTGATGAGTGTTGGATCTACTGGAGTATGGGTGGTGTTGACTGATGCAGGGAGTTGATATAAGCTAGGCAAGGGAGTTTGTAGACTGGGCTGGAGAGGCATACGAGGAAGTACAGTAGATGGATCCAGAGAAGAACTATGGGAAAGGGAATTAGGAATAGTATTGGTGAGGGTACAGTCATTGGGAAGAATGGGAGAGGATTCATGACCAGTAGAAGAGGACAAGGTGGCATATGGAAAAATGTTTTCGTGAAAACAAACATGCATGTCCGCTAATAAAAAATTTGCCAGATTTGGGCTCAAGACAACGATAACCTTTAAAACCAGATGCATAGCCAAGAAAGACACATTGGACAGAACGAGGAGAGAGTTTATTTGAAGAAGAGGCTGAAAAATTCGGATAACAAGCACATCCAAAAACACAGAATAAACTATAATCAGGAAGTTTCTGAAAAAGTTTTTCATATGGGGATACACCAAAAAGAGTAGGGGAGGGGAGTCTGTTAATAATATATACAGCTGTAAAAATAGCATCAACCCAAAAATGGCTAGGAATAGATGCGGTGATTAGCATAGTCCTAGCTAGTTCTAGAAGATGACGGTGTTTACGTTCAGCAACACCATTTTGTTAGGGAGTATAGGGGCATGATTTTTGAAAATAAATGCCATGATCAGCCAAAAAATTTTGCATATTAAAATTAACAAACTCACCCCCTCCATCTTTGAAAAACTTTAATTTTAGCATTAAATAGATTTTCAACAAGTACTTTAAACAAACAAAACTGAGTAAACACTTCATCCTTGGTACGCAAGGGATAGATTCAGGTAAACCGAGAAAAATCATCAATAAAACTCACATAATATTTAAATCCTAAATTAGACAATACAGGAGATTGCCAGACATCAGAATAAATTAATTGTAATGGTGAAGAAGAAGTATGACTAGCATCTGTAAAAGGTAACCGTTGGGATTTACCCAATCGACAAGAAACACAATCATGTTCAAAATTTGAAGAAGTAGAAAT